ATTTTATATTAAATAATAATAAAAATACTACATCATACTAAATGGTTGTCCCTTGTTCCCATATAATGAGGTAAGGGAGGTAAATAGTAGGCTGCCCCCAACATTAGGTTGAGAGCAACTTCCGTAGGTGACCTCCAAATTATGAAATGCCCTCCATGGGACTCGATCCTACGACCTCAAGGTTAAAAACCTTGTGCTCTACCAACTGAGCTGGATATTTTAAATTATTTTTATATTAAATAATAATAAAATAATTTAAAATGATCAAAACATGAACAATTCGAAAGTTCAATGAATAAATTAAAAAAAATAAAAGTACAATAAGTGAAATAACAATGAAAGTAAAATTCAACGAGGAATTACATAGTTTACGCTATTTAAAATGATAGCATCTAAACACAAAAGATACTTTAAACACTTAAATGAACAAAAGTTATCAAGCCAAAATTTAAAGGAAAATCCTTAATGGAACGTATCTAATAAGCATATCCATATCCAGACACCACAGGAGTGATGTTTTAAGAATGATAAATTTTATTTATGTATAAATACTGTAGCAATTCAATATATAGCACGCAGGAACTTAAGGAAATAAATTTTAATATTACAACAGATTGGTCCCAAAATTTTTCTATGAAGTATCGCTTAGACTTGAAGGTTCTGGTTGAAATTCAGATTGAATCTGAACCTCTGAAACTTCGGGAGGTAACTCCGATGAGGATGTTTCGGTCACACTCGGTGCTGCAGCCTGGATAATATCTGTTGGCTTAAACTTGTTTATGTAGTAACTAAGCGTCGGTCCGGAATATTCTACTGTCTTTACAGGAGGTGAGTTCTTGCCAACTTGAAGGACTATAGATGAAGCTGCAGCAACAAAGATAAGGGCGAGTCCAGCGGCAACTGCTGCCGTATTCTCAGATCCTTCAGATGAATAACCGGCAGTTCCTGAGCTTATTGCACTTTCAGCTACATAAACTGCAGGCTAGAGGGAAGAAAACGCTTTGGTTACAAAATCAGTTATGAGGTAATTGAAAAATCTAATACTTACCAACCTCTACAGAATAAATGTTGGTCTGCCCTGCAGTGTCCTTTTCGACATAGCCAGTCCAGCCACGTTTGCGAGGCGGAAATGTCCCGACCACTTTAGTCTTATCCCCGGCTAACCATTCCACACTCACCTTCCCAACCTGCTCAAATATAAATATTAAGCTACTGTTTACTATAACTAAGACCAAACCATATCAATTGCTAAATTATATCAAAATATAAGTTGCCATGAGTAAATATATCATTGCCGTTTCCTTTTTCAAACAATGGAGGTCCCAATTTGCGAATAGGAGAAGAGTTTACAAATACTTGAAGTCAAACTCCAAACTTGCTAGACATCTTCTCTTAGGGCTAATTACATAAACTCGAGTTCCTATGTTGTTCTGAGTATTCATTTTCCTTACAACATTGTTCGAAACATTATCGAACATGGATATAATGATATAACATTTCAAGAACCCTCCATATACATGAAGAAATCCCAGGAAAAATCGACATACCAATGCCGAGCAAGAAAAATAATCTTTCCTCCAATACTCTAAACCAGGCCTATGAACACCAACGAAATCAGAAATTTCTCCAAATTTGAACTCTAGCTAATCCCTTTAAATCAAAAGCAAAACCTTAATGATATAACAACTGTTAGTTTCTTCCCCCACTTTGGGCTATCGGCAGCAGCTCGCCTTGGAGTCGGGGATCGAGCTTAAAATTTCAAATTACCGTATATTTTAGAATTTTTTATATTTTATGTTGATAATCTGTTTTCACCGCTAAAATCTTTAAATTCACCCCTCCCTAAAATTTTAAAATTAGCCCCTTAACATTAAATCTTGCATCACACGCATGTAAACTTAAAAGATCTTCCAAGTCAATATTTGTATTCTATACATCAATTTAACCATAAATAAACAGAAAATTAACAACAATAAAGCAAAAGGAGGAAGAAAATGAAGATTACTGAAAAAGAAAGACAAAGGGTCATATCAAAACCTCTTTATCTGGGGCACATTCTTCTTCATTACAGTCATCGGGTTCATCAGAAGAAGCTCTAACAGTGAAGAAATTGAATTGTCTGGTCTTGTTAAGTTTGGAGTATTTGTTGAAAAACAATAGCGTTGGGGAAGTGAATGCATAGCTGTTGGTTGATATCATTGCCTGCGATGCAAAAGCCATGTTTGGGGGTTTTTGCAAAGAGTTTTGGGGTATTTTAATGGAGTTTGTGGTGTGGTGGGGTGTGGTGATAAAAAGTATTTTGTGGTGAGATTTCAAGGATTTAGCTGTTCCATACACTATTGCGTATGGTGAATGGATTTCCTCACCAAAAATATCTTCCAACTTTTACCCAATTCTTTGGGCCTATTTATCGTTATCTCTTAAAATTTGTTTTGGGCTTATTAAATTTAATATTAGGCTTAATTCAAATATAAGTGCTCAAGTTATACCCAATTTAATTTTAAAGATCTAAAATTAGGGTTAAAAAATCAAATCTATAAAGACTATTGGGGCGTTTTTACCAAAAATATCACCCTAAAATCCTAATATTCACATTCTAACATCCATTCCCCAATATTTTCCAATGTAACACATTTTTTGAAAAATAAGCAAATGCGCATTTCAGGGGCGCGCCTACTGGGGATTTTTACTGGCTCGGCGTCACGGTGAGAAAGACACGTTTCAAGGAGCGCATCTTCGAGTGATTTTGCTGAGCTGGCACCACGATGGAAAAGGTGCATTTCAAAAGCATGCATTTACAAGGTTTGAGCACCACATCAGAAAGCATGTCCTATGAGGCACACCTTCAGCAAAATTCCATAAAATGTATTTTAAGAAATAGACTTTAAAATTTTAAAAAAAATTAAATTATAAGGACCAACAATATAATTTAATACATATTAATTCTATGAGTTAAAGAGCCTGATAGTGTTGGTTTATATAGAGATATAGTGGAGTGATCATGTTATGTCTACTAACAACAAATTTCCATAAAATACATTTTATGAAATACATTTTAAAAAATTAAAAAAAAATAAAATTATAAGAACCAATAATACATATTAATTCCATGAGTTAAAGAGTCTAATGGTATTAGCTTATATAGGTATAATGGAGTGATTATGTTATGTTTGTTAACAATGTGGGATAAAAGCAAAATAGAGTTTTTCTACTTTTTTTCTCATGTATTAATATTTTTACTTAATCCATTGAGTTATAGTTTTTTTACTATTTAAATATGAATTAGAGTTTATATTTAAAATTAAATATTTTTGATATGTTAAAATATTTAAATATTAATTTTTTAGTTATGAGTTAAATTTTGTTAAGAAATATTTTGATGAGAATATTTGAATTAAAATATTTTTTATAAGTCATCATCAAATTCAGTTTGTTGGGGAATTTTTGATAAAATTCGGAGTTGTTGATTTTTACATCGGTCGATGAACTAAACCCATTTAATTAATAATATTTATTTGCTCTTTATTTTTTTCATATTGATTTGCGCACTATAATCCTTTCTCCGTTGTTATGAATAACTTTGGTAGTAAGCCTTAGGCAAAGAAAAAGATTAACTTTGTTTTTGGTTTTGGTACTAGTTAAATGTGAGAATTTCACTTTGTATACGATCATTGTTAATCAATTATTCTTGAATCTGTAGATGCTAATGTTAAGACTCATAGAGATTAAAAATCAGTTGACATATTTGCAAATGGAAATGGAGTATATGGATTGATTTCTTTAAATGCATCTGATGTAAATACCAATAACTCTAAATTATATCAAATTTTTCCCAACAAACTAAATTTGATGATGCTTTATAAAAAAAATTATAAAAATATATGTTTAATTATTTTTTAAAATTTTAATTCTAATATTCTCATCAAAATATATCTTAACAAAATTTAACTCATAATTAACAGATAAATATTTAAAGGTTTTAACATATTAAAAATATTTTATTTTAAATATAAACTCTAACTTAATGGAATAAGTAAAAATATTAAAGACTACATGAAAAAAAAGTAAAATAACTCTATTTTGCTTTTATCTCATATTGTTAGCAAACATAGCATAATCACTATACTATGCCTATATAAACTAACATAATTAGAGTCTTTAACTCATGGAACTAATATGTATACAATTATATTGTTGATCTTTATAGTTTTATTTTTTTAAATATAATTTATTGATATTTAGAAAATGTGTCCTGTAATGTCTTGTCACCTTAGTGAAGGTGTTTCCGGAATGCACTTTCTTGCCACATGTGCAAGGTGTGTTACCCAAAATATGCCTTATTTCCTTGATTTTAGAAAATGTGTTAATTTAGACAATATTATAAAAAGAGTATTAAATTGGTAATATTTTATTTATTTAGATTTTTGAGTAAAATTGCAGGATATTGATGCCTGTCTAAACCGCATAACTATCTATTTGGTGAATTATATATTATTTTTTTATTTTGGTCACTTACCAATAATTTTCTAAAAATTATATTTAATGTTATATTTTTATTCTATTTTGATCACCTATCGTTAAAAATTAATAATGAAATTAATATGTAATTATAAGATAATATCACGTCAGTATTAAAAATATAAAAAAATAATACATCAATATTATCATTATTTTTTAATAATAAATAAATAAAACAGAACCAAAACATAAGTTATCTATAATTTTTTAAAAAAAAAAATAATTAAGGGTAATAGTATAAGGCTTTAGCAGCTTGTAGCGTTGAGACTCTATGAGGACGCACTTATACAAGTAACGATTCATACCACACAAAACGATACACTTTCGGGGGGAAAAACAAAACACCCTCGTTTTCAGTGGACCCTACACCCACACACGAGTCCCCACTGACTCTTTGACGTTCCTATTGCCGAGACTCATAAAACGGCTCGGCGCAACTCACCAACTCATCGTAACGGCGGAAACGCAAACCCTTTACCAAAGCTGGAATCTTCGTCACGGCGAGACGTTGAACAATTTTGGCGGTAAAATCCAGTGACAGCATCATGACGTGTCAAATTGTAATTGGATGGAGATGAATGTCATGTTCATGGTGCATGTCTATCATGATGCTATGTTGGTTAATTTTCCCGCGCTAAATAGGAAAGATCCTTCACTCCTAGGGTTTTCCACTAAAAGAGGCCCAAAGTTAACAGAGAGAGAGAGAGAGAATAGAAGAAAATTTTAGGGCTCTTTGTTCTTCACTAAAAATTAGTAAAAAGAAGAAATTAATATCTTTGCTTTCTAACTGGTTTCTCTTCTTCTCGATTTGTTTAAAACGCTGTGTTTTGGGTGGTAGATTAGAAGCTAGGGTTTCGCTTCACTGGATCTGTTACATCTGTAGATCCAGGATCCCAACCAATTTCAAGCCTTCATTTTGTAAGTTTTCATTTTGCTATGTTTTAGTTTTTTTTAATGGCATTCTTGGAGATAAATTCGCCATTTCCAGAGGTGTAAATGATTTTTTCTTCTTTTATTTTCCTTGTATGGTAGCTAAATATTTTGAAATACATTTTTATTTTGCAGTGGAGGTTTAAGTTGTTATTATGTATTTGTTTTATTTTTCTCAAAAAGAAAATTTTAAAGTCAATTTATGTGTATTTTCTTTTGATAGTTTGTAACTTTAATAGCTAGCTTAATCTTGAATATGCTGATTATAAGTTTATTGTTAGAACTTTTTGGAAATTGATGAACTCGGAAGGCATGAAGCCTTCAGTAACAACTTCTGGTAGCACGGATGACGATGCCATTGAAACTAGGTTCACTGCTTTTTGCAAGGTAGTGATACGTTCTTTTCAGTAGTATTATTTCAAATGTTTTTTTCTTTTATGTGTGTGTTTTTTAGTGTTATGTTTTCATGATTTCCAGAATGGATTATCTCTGGAAGAGAAAGCTTGCTCAAATGCCATGAAGCTATTCAAAGAAACAAAACACCTTTTATCCTCAAATGTTTCAGCAATTGGGAGTGGGACGGTGGTTTTTTTTAACTTCCTTGTATATGGAAATTTACTAAAGATAATTACTTTTAGATGAACTAACTTTGTTGCATTATTCTGGATTAGCTGGAAGAAGCAGAGCGATTTTGGTTTTCATTTGTTTTATATTCGTTTAAGCGACTGAGCGAAAAGATTGGAGAAAATAAACAACATGAGTCTGATGAAAGTGGGTTTTCGTTATGCCATATATTGAGAGCTACAAAGCTGAAGTATGATGCTGTTAATTTTGTGTTTAAGGGTAGCATTTCTGATCGGCAACTGTTTCAGTGACAATAAGCTTTTCTTATGTTTTCCAGCATTGTGGATTTTTTTAAAGAGTTGCCTCAGTTTGTGGTGAAAGCTGGTCCTGTTTTAAGTAACATGTATGGTGAAGATTGGGAGAGTAAACTCGAGGTACTGAAAGAATATGTTTTAACTTCTTTTCTTTTATATTTATTTATTTTGTCAAAGTTGCTTCTATTAACTATCTGCTTATGGTACTCTATCAATTAGGCTAAGGAGATGCAGGCCAACTTTGTGCACTTGAGCCTTATAAGCAAGTAGGTGCCCTTCTTTTATAACCTATTCTAGGTTATAAGATGGTATGTCTGAATAGCTTTGTGATGGAATTAGCATTTATCTTTTTATATTAATAGAACCAGGCTTTACTAATTCGATGGGTTACTTTTAAATTCATGAAATCACACTAGTGAAAAGCTATATTTATGTTTTACAAGGGTTCAGATTTGCAGTATACTTGCTTATGTTGACTTGAACCTTGTCTGCAGTGCTGGCTAATAGGGGGAGCACCCAGAGTGATTGCTCAGGGCCCCCATTTTTTATAGAGCCCTAATTTTTTTCAATTCTACTTTTTACTTTTATAATTGAGGCCTCTAATTTTTGTAATCCTACATTTTATCTATATAATTGAGCCCTTTCTCCATCCCTATTATTAATTCATTTAAATTTGAATTAAATCTAGATATTTTTTTTTTTTTTTCAAATTGCATTCTTCAATTTATCAAATATTCTTTAACTCTTAAACTTCTCCAATCTCAATCTAACGGTAAAATAATATACTATTCTTTACCCTTTTTTTATTTATTGTTCAAAATCAGGATCAATATCACATCCAAATTCATTTTTTTATTTATTCTCTTAGTTGTATTTAAGGTGTTTTTTAACAAAACAATAAAAATAATGTTTTATAAAATTTAATCATTTTTCTATGATTTATTAATATAGTATTAAATTAATTGTCTAAAGTAATAATATAATTTTGTTCTATAAGGGTCTATTTTTGAATCTCTCAGGGTCCCGAAAATATCCGAGACGGCTCTGCTTGTCTGAAATATACTAGAGCAGGCCTAGATTACGGTGCTTTTATCAAGTGTTTATCCCCCACAAAGAAAAAGAGAAAAACCCGGGGAGGGGGGAGGGGTTGTACTGTGCAAGATGTGCATGTAAAATATGTTGGAAAAAAATACGATAATGATATAATATATACATACATGCACATATCCTATTTATTTACAGTAGCTGGTCACGTGGCCTTGTTTTTGGCATTGATTGTAATCTTTTCCTAATGGATAACATAATTAAATTTAAGATAGTGATATAAATATGACATTTTCTTTTAGACAGATTGCAGAATTATATTTCAAATGATATTTTACTCAGAATTTGTACTGTGCATTTGATAGTTTTTAAATGCTTTCCTTTGGGCAACTGTATCCTCAAAACCTTATTTTTTTTGGTTTGTATAATTTTCAATTTGTAAAGTAAATAACATCTGCATCTTGCTATTTAATGGTATAAAAGGTCATTCAAGCGTGCATTTTGGGAACTCTTCTTGGCAAGTGATGCAAATGTTGACAAGCAGCAAAATGCTAACAGTTCGCCAGATTATTTATCAGATTGCCACCGTTTTGGGTGGTTACTTTTTTTGGCACTCCGTGTGCACGCATTCAGCCGTTTTAAAGACCTAGTGACCTGTGCAAATGGTTTTGTTTCTATACTGGTCAGTTATGCTTTTCTGTTGCTTTCTTACTAGCTGATTGTATGAAGGCAGACTTGGTTTTACTAAGGAATAACATGTCCCTTTTCCCCCCAAATGAAACATGTTCTTATTATATTAGTACAGATAATGGGTTAATTTAATAATTATCAAACAGAATGTAATCATTGAAAGTTACGTTTAAATGTTTTCTTACAATTTTTTATTTTTAACAGGTTATTTTGATTATACATGTTCCCATTCGCTTCAGGAACTTCAAGATCAGTGACACTCCACGTTTTGGTAGTTTTCTGCTCTTTTATAGAAGTCAAATTTTTAGATGTCTTTGATAAAGAGAATGCATCATGATTCTTCTTCACTGTCCTTTTTCTTTATTTTCTATTCCTGGTGGGGATAAAATTTTGGCATTCCTCGTTGGCTTCATCTAATCATTCAGTTAAGAAAGGAGACAAAGGTATCGACCTACTTGCGTCACTTTGCAACATGTATGATGCTTCAGAAGATGATTTGAGGAAAACAATGGAGATGGCCAATAAGTTAATAGAAGATATATTGAGAAAAAAGCCATGTCCAGCAGCTGAGTGTAAAATGGAAACACTGGAAAATATTGATACTGGTTCGTCATTCATGTCATGAATACAATTTTGACAGCATGCTTTCATCGGTTTTGCTTTTAATTTATGTGATCTTCTTTGATGCAGATGGCTTGATCTATTTTGAAGGTTTAATGGAAGAACAATCTCTTTCATCCTGTTTGAATATTTTAGAAAAAGATTATGATGATGCAATTTGTAATAAAGGTGATCTGGATGAAAGGGTGTTTGTAAATGAAGAAGATAGTTTACTTGGTTTAGGGAGCTTGTCTGGAGGGGCTATGAATGTTACTGGTATCAAGGTCTGTTTCAAAATTGAGGAAGTGTATTCTTCCCTTTGGTTTTTGTGCTTTACATAGCAGTTCCTTTATCTAAGAAAGTTGTTTATTCTGTTGAGTAGAGGAAACTTGATTCAATGGCCTCACCATCAAAGTCAATCTCAAGCCCGCTGTCTCCTCAACGGCCTCCTGCAACTCATGTGAATGGTGTCCTTGGGTCGCCGAGTGCGAAGATGGCAGCTACCCCCGTCAGCACTGCAATGACAACTGCAAAATGGCTTCGTTCTGTTATTTGTCCTCTTCCTTCAAAACCTTCAGCAGAGTTGCAGTGTTTTTTATCATCTTGTGATAAAGATGTTACCAATGATGTGATATGTAGGGCACATATAATATTGGAGGCAATATTCCCTAGAAATCATGAACGTAGTGCAACTGGAAGCCTTCAAAGTGTAAACCTGATGGATAATATATGGATGGAACAACGAAGACTAGAAGCACTAAAGTTATACTATAGGGTTTTGGAAGCTATGTGTACTGCAGAGGTGCAAATATTACATGCAGTTAACTTGACCTCTTTATTAACTAATGAGAGGTTTCATAGATGTATGCTTGCTTGTTCTGCTGAACTAGTGCTAGCGACACATAAGACTGCCACAATGTTGTTCCCTACGGTACTGGAAAGGACTGGTATTACAGCCTTTGATCTGAGCAAGGTGATAGAGAGTTTCATTAGACACGAGGAGTCTCTGCCAAGAGAATTGAGGCGGCATCTAAATTCTCTGGAAGAGAGGCTTTTGGAGAGCATGGTGTGGAGTAAAGGCTCTTCAATGTACAATTCTTTGATAGTTGCAAGACCTTCCCTGTCTGCTGAAATAAATCGTCTTGGCCTATTGGCAGAGCCAATGCCATTGTTGGATGCAATTGCCATGCATGTAAACTCTTCTGGAGGTACACCTCCAGTGTCCACTTTGCAGAAGCATGAAACATCAACAGGTAATGTTGGTAGCTCAATCTTAGGTGTGCAACATTTTGAGCTTTATTTTAATACTTTCTGACTGGTATGTGAATTTTCTTGTTTAATGTAGTAACTTATGTTATAAGATTTGATTACGGTTTTTTCTCAATGTTAAATTATATTCTATCATGCACTTAGTTTTCATAGTCGTACTATTTATTTATTTGTTTTCAGGTCAAAATGGGGATGTCAGGTCTCCCATGAGACCATGTGCAGAGTTTAGAAGCGTTTTGATTGAACGGAATGCTTTTACATCACCAGTGAAGGATCGTCTATTAGCATTAAGCAACCTTAAGAAGGCTCCTTTGCAATCTGCATTTGCGAGGTATTTTTTGTTGTAAGTTATAGGAAGTAGAAACCTGAACTAACTGCACTGGCTTAACTGAATTTTCTCTTGGGGTATTTGTTTGTAGTCCAACACGTCCTAACCCAGGCGGCGGAGGAGAAACATGTGCAGAAATAGGAATAAATATATTTTTTAGCAAGGTATCAAAATACAAGATAAAGTAGACTTTCTTTCATAGCTATGGTGTGCCTTACATACTCTTATTTATACTAGTTCAAACCTACTAACACTTGATTGTAAAATTTAAATATCCATGATATGCTCTCTCGTGGCAAATTGCCCACAAGTACTGACTATTGAATTTGATTTAGATTCTGTGATTATCATCTACTCTGTCTGATGTATTGCCTGCCTTTCACTGCCTAGATTAATAAGCTGGCTGCCATCAGGATTAATGGTATGGTTGAGAGACTACAATTGTCTCAACAGATTAGGGAGAGTTTATATCATCTTTTTCAGCAAATACTTATCCAGCGGACTTCTCTGTTCTTTAACCGTCATATTGACCAGATCATCCTTTGTTGTTTCTATGTAGTTGCAAAGGTCTGCTCCTCTTATGATATCTTTTTAACACACTGTTAAATTTATCTGCAGTGCTTCCTCTTACTTTCTGAATGAATAACCTGCAGATTTCTCAGTTGCGCTTGACTTTCAAAGAAATCATTTGCAACTATAGGAAGCAACCACAATGTAAACCTCAAGTTTTCCAAAGTGTATTTATTAACAGGTCATCTGCACGACCATCAGGGGTATGGTTTCTCATCCCTAGTTTCTTTGTCCCTGCTTTTCCAGGAGATTTTAACTGTTTTAATTATCTGTAAACAGAGAACCGGGCAGGATAATATTGATATCATTGCATTCTACAATGAAATATTCATTCCTGCTGTAAAGCCTTTGCTGGGAGAACTTGGTTCTGCTGGAACAACTACAAGAACAAGCCGAGTTGCTGAAGCCAACAATAGTAACGATGGTAAATGTTTCATTTATTTCCATTATTATATTCCAGAGTTTCGGTGTTATATTCTATACTTGCTGCTTGTGCAGGCCATTCTAATTTTGCTTGTTCTATCTTTATTCCCTAATTAGGTCCATGCCCTGGATCTCCTAAGGTTTCTCCTTTTCCAAATCTCCCTGATATGTCCCCAAAGAAAGTATCTGCAACCCACAATGTATATGTGTCTCCATTGCGGACATCCAAGGTACTAAAATCCAGTTTTTCTCCTCTTCATTGAGTTACTAATTTTCCATTTTATAGAAAAACGGACTTGCACGTTTAAGATTTGACCAGCCTCCTGGGGCAAGTTGGGAAAAAATATTTTATTGCTTAGAACCATTGCCGCACAAGCAATTATTTACCATGTCTAATGATGCAGCACTCTTAAAAAGGCCAATAAAAATATCCTTTAATTTCCAGTATTAAGTTCCATGAATCTGGTATGATGCAGAGGAAAGTCAAATCAGCCAAGAATATTGAAAAAAGATAATAAACCTGATTGAATTAGGGATAAAGAAAAGAGTTCTGGGATTTTCCAGGAACCAGATTTATCAAAATTCTCAATGATAATAATATTCCCTTAAATTTTCTAGTATATTATTTACAATAGACCTCTCACTAATAGTAAAATAGTTGTTTTAGAACTCTTACTAAGAGTCCTATGCTAAACACTTTAAGTATTTAAAAGAACAGAAAAGATAAATTTAAAAAACTAAACTTAAAAGGAAAATAATTAAAATAATCTTGGATACTCCTGCATCATTCTCTCCGGGTTGAAAAAACTCAATTCCGACGATTGAACTTTAGCTACCTCACTTTCAAAAAAAAACTTTAGCTACCTCAGCCATAATCGGTAACATACATAATATCATCTATGTTTGTGTAACATTTAGTATTCCCATAGAAGTTGATCATTTTAATCTTGACAAGGAGCTTAGAAGTATCATCCCAGCCTATGAGGATAACAATAATAGCTCTCTTAGTTAGGGGTGAGTAAAACTCGACTCGACTCGAATTGACTTCGAGTTGTAATTTCATAAACTTGACTTGACTCGAAAAAATTTCAAGTTCAAATTGAGTTATAAGATACAACTCGAATAACTCAAAATTTTTAATAATTAGTGGATTGATTTTCAAGTTTTAGTTGAGTCACTCAACTCTGTATGATATATGTATATCACATATTAAAAACTATGAGGGAATATATATATGTATTGTATATAGTTATAAAAAATCATTTAAATTATAATTAAATAATATCATAATATTATAAATATTTACAATTAAATTTAAACAAAAACTCAACTCGACTCGAAAAAATTTCAAGTCAAATTCGAGTTATAAAATAGGACTAGTTAACTTTAATAATTCGATTTTTTTACTCGATTCAACTCAATCGAATGCTCACCTCTACTATTAGCCTCATAGCAACGGATATATTTAATTGCAGCTGGATGCCAAGGAAGACAATCATGCAAAATTATTAACGAAAAGTCATCTTTCATGAATTTCAACCACTAGCCAATGGCTTTCTCTAACAGTGCTGGCTAATAGGGGGAGCATCCTGAGCGATTGCTCAGGGCCCTATTTTTTTTATAAAGCGCTTAATATTTTCAATTCTACTTTTTTACTTTTATAATTGAGGCCTCTAATTTTTGTAGTCCTGCATTTTATCTATATAATTGAGCCCTTTCTCCATCCCTATTATTAATTTATTTAAATTTGAATTAAATCTAATCATATTTTTCTTTTCTTTTTTTAAATTGTATTCTTCAGTTTATCAAATATTCTATAACTCTTAATCTTCTCCAATCTAAATCTAACAGTAAAATAATATATTATTTTTTACTTTTTTTATTTTATTGTTCAAAAGCAAGATCCATATCTTATCCAAATTCATTTTTTTATTTTCTTAGTTGTATTTAAGGTGTTTTTTTAACAAAAACAATAAAAATAATGTTTGATAAAATTTAATCATTTTTCTATGATTTGTTAATATAGTATTAAATTAATTGTCTAAAGTAATAATATACTTTTGTTTTATAAGGGTCTATTTTTGAATTTGGTTCAGGGTCTCGAAAATACCCGACGGCTCTGTTCTCTAGAACCCAGTAGAACTTGATTTTCAGCAACAGCTTTCGGGAACTCAACTTTCATGTTGGTTGTACTTTTTCTCCAAAAGTTTCCATCGCCGTCAAACTGTAACTCACCTTCAAGTATTCCTGCCTTCTCTTAAGTTCTACACTAAATTTTCCCTCAGTAGAATATGTTTCAGTTGTAAAAATGGAGTCTCTTTTTATTCCAAAACCATCATCCGACAATGAGTCATTTGAGATATCAAGAAGATCTCGCCTCCAATCCTTCCACTCTTCTAAAGTTTTGGGTTTCATCGCTGTATGAACAACCAAAGACTCCTTGATTCTGATACATATCAAATTCTTCACTTTCCTCAGGATATTTATCATAGATCGGTTCTAACATATCATAATCTTGCTCTTCCATGTGCATCTTCCCATCTAAATCAGCAACTTGTACATTGATTCCATCCTCCTTTGATGCAAGGGCATGAACCAATTGCTCCTCCAATCCACCTCGTACCACAAGTATTCCTTGTACATCCTCATCTGAATCATAGGAGTGTCCTATCTTATCAATATCAGATTCATTAGTAAGACTACTGGTAGGTCAAATTGGTTGTGTACACCTTCTGAAATCTCCGTTTGGGTTTCCACATGTACCTGTCGTTGCCGCAGTCCTTCATTCTTGTCTCATCTCTGCCATCTCCATTTGTTGCCTTGATTTCCTCTTATACGACGTCTAGTGTTTCCTATCTTAAGCAATTCTTGATATGAACCCTAGGATGTAAAAGGCTTTGATTATCAATTTGATGGAGAGTAAAGTCAAAACGACAAATAAAATTGAAAAAAAGATGATAAACCTAATTGAATTAGTGATGAAAAATGGTTCTGGGATTTTCCATCAGCCAGCTTTATTAAAGATCTCAATGATCCGCTAAACCTTCTGTTATATTATTTTTAATAACTCACTAATAGTAGAATAGTTGTATTAGAACTCTTACCAAGATTCCTATGCTAATCACATAATTATTTGAAAGAACACTAAAGATTAAAAGAAAAAAACTAATGTAAAAACCGATAATAAGAAAACTAATCCTAAAAACAAAATAATTAAAATAATCTTGGATTCTCCTGCATCGTGGTAGAAAAAGATGAATAACAACGGGTTGTATTTTTTGATTGTCTGAACTAGGTACTAAAGAAAATTCTTTGTTCTATTTTTAGCCTTTTGTATTATCCCAATCCTACGTTTATGGTTGAGTGTGATATGATAATGTTTCTTAAATGTGTATATTTTTCATGTTTTCCATGTATTTGGAATGCCTTTGAAGGGTATATCGTCATAAACACGTTCAAATATAAGTGTATGACTAGATATACATCAGGCTGGTGTCGAATGTGGGTACTTAAAGAAAAACAAGGAGTCGGAGTAACTTAGTTAAATATGTGGTTATGTAGAAAAGAAGTGTGTTCTTTTTTTATTAAATTAGATCTTATTTTCATTTACAGATGGATGCTCTTATCTCTCATAGCTCAAGAAGCTACTATGCTTGTGTCGGAGAGAGTACTCGTGCTTTTCAGAGCCCTTCGAAGGACCTAACTGCCATCAACAATCACTTGAACGGGTATTCTTCTCTTATGCCCTTGGGTAGTATAACTTTTACTTTTAAACATCGAAATTCTTACGTAACTAATGATGGTGACGTTTGCTTTGTTGCTTTTAGTAGCCGGAAGATCAGAGGGGCACTCAACTTCGACGACATTGATGTCGGCTTGGTTAGTGATTCCATGGTTGCAAATAGCCTTTACCTGCAGAACGGGAGCTGCACATCCTCATCTGGTGCACCTTTAAAATCTGAGCAACCGGAATCTTAGCTCAACGCAGGTATTCCTTGTAAATTCCGCCCTTCTTCCGTGTCCTTCATAGATTCTACGTGTGTACGTTCGTTACCGGGGGTACGTATGAGCGGTGAGTTGGTGTTGAATAGCCGCCACCTCCCGCTTTGTGTTTACGAATGTTTGCTAGCAGTACTTTTAAGCTTGGCCTAACAAATTGAATAAAGTTTGTCTGTTTGTAGCCAAATAATACACGTTTGATGACCATTTATTGGAATTACAATGCTCTTTACTTTTAAGGGGTAATTCTGTTGGGGTATATTTTAGTTAGGGTGTAAATGAACCGAGTTTGAACAAATAAAGTTATGTTTGTGTTCATTTGTTTAGTTTTAAAGGTGTTATTATTCGATTCGTGTTTGTTTATTTATTTTTGAAGGTGTTCGTGTTTGTTCGTTTAGCGTTCATGAACGTGTTCGTTTAACGTTTGTGAACATGCTTGCTTAACGTTCGCGCCCATTCATTTAGCGTTCGCGAACATGTTCGTTTAACGTTTGTGAACATGTTCGTTTAATGTTCGCGAACATATTCATTTAGCGTTCTTGAATATAAACGAATTAATGAGTGTATAAACGAGTTGATAAACGAACTTATAAATGAGTTTATTCTTGAATATAAAAGAATTGAATACACATTAAATGAACATGTAAATTAATTACGCTTGTTCATTTAGCTTAATACAAGAACATAAATAAATGTTATACGAAAGATTCAATAATTCATCGAATGTTTTGTTTATTTATACTCATAATTTTAGGAGATGTCTCAGAAGTCAACTTGTTTAGTGTGTTTGATTTGATGTTGAAGAATTTTTTCCGTTAATGTGTTCACAACTTCAATTGAATATCATATAAAGTCCTACCCAAATTGAATTTCATAAATTAATCGTGTTTAGGGTGCCAAAAAATCTATCTTCTAACTATGATGGGTCATTATTAGATGTCTTTACGATTCAGGTAACTTATTGAGCGTATTGAAGATGGTACATGTGCAACTGGTGTGCCGAAGTGGATATAACAAGTCCTAAAATTTCAAATTTAATATATATTAAATTAATTTTTAAATTATGGTTAAAATTCAATCAAATAAATAAACTCAAATTTCCAACATTATTAAAAAAATAAACAACTCAAATGACTACGTAACTATAACGATAACATTGATATGACCACCGTATTTTTAGTTTTGGCAATATAATCACATTAGTTTCAATGTTTTCACCTATCGTTACAAAATAAATGACATATCTGATGTGGACTTCTGACTCATCGTAGTCAATAACTATTACATCATCTACGTCATTTGTTTATAACAGTAGATGATTATATTAAAACAACTTAAATATTTATGTGATCACATTGCGAAAATTGAAAGTATAATAGTCAAATCAACATTAACTCTAGTAAAGGGTCATTTGAATAGTTTATCATAAGGGGTCGTTTGGTTCAGGGTATATGAGATTACCAAGGGGAATGGACTGTCATCCTCCCGTTTGGTTCGCAAATATTCCCAGCCCCCGGTAATCCTTTATTCCCAACAGTGGTATTTTGGGGGTATATTATCGGGAATGTGATTCCCCCTTCCCTTAGGTATTGTTACATTACCGGTATTTTGGACTAAAATGTCCTTAATCTTTTTTCCAAAAATATCCTTATTCTCTCTTTGAATAAAAAAAATCTACGAAGGTTAAATTACAAATTTATCCTTAAACTATTTTAGATTTACAAAAAAAATCATAATTATAATTTTATATGAAGTTTAAGAATTAAAATAAAATTGTACCCTTTCATTAAACCTATTTATCTTTTTAATTTTGTAAAAAAAATTATATAAATTTTATAAATTTAAAATTTTTAAAGAAAATATATAAATTAATTATAGTAGAATTTAACTTGTTAAAAAATAAATATATAATAAGGATAATTTGGTAAAATATATATTCTAATAATATTTTATTCATTTAACCAAACACTGTAATATTACATTACTGCTAAATGATCCAAACACAAAAATATAATATTTTATATAATCTTAATCTCATCAATAATCTTATATTCCGTGAAGTATTTGCTGCTAATTGATAAGAACAATGATATAGCCGAAGTTCTAGAAAAGGGAAAAAGAATATATGGGAAATTATAATAGAAATGGAAGATAAACAATGCCGACACAGAAGCCGTATTAAAAATACAATAGAATAAAACAAAATTAATAAGCTTAGCCGTACCAATGAAATTTAACCACACAAACATATTTTTCCATTAATTTCCAACCAAAAGTCCAAGTTTTCAGAGTCCCAAAAGTCTGCGCACATGTTTCTATCCATTCCCGGTTACGATGAACCCAACATAAACAAATAAGATTAAAATATTAAAATTATAATCTCATCCAATGATCTCGATAGTTAAAAAAATATTATTTTTTTCGAGATCTTAGATTCAATAAGTTATATCAATAGGGTGTGTACATATTACTAATGATTAAAAAAAATTATGAATATATTCTATCTTATCAGTGACGAAATTTGATGGTAGAGTTTGAAAATATCAACTTAAAACTTTAAAAATTTCATAAGTTTAAATTAAAATTATAAAAGGTTTAGTTTAATTTTTTCTAAAAATTTAGTGTCTAATTAAAAATTTTGACAGTCTTAATGAGAACTTTTAAAAGTTATGGTAGGTGGTTTAATTAAAATGATTAAAAAAAATTAAAATTTAATATAAATTTTTAAAAATTTTGAGGGAATGACTCACTATTTCCTCGTGTTCTGTCACTATTTATAATTATCTTATACTGTTAAAAAATATTAAAATTACATTATATTTTAACAAAATTAAATTTATTAAATAATTTTAGTGATAAAAATAAATGTTATTTTTAAAATAAAATATTAAGTTTAAATAATCATTTCTATATATTATCATTATCTCTTTCAAAGGTTAGATATTTTGTTCATTTTTTTTTGTATCTCCTTCCTCGAAATCAGCTTTCGTACTACAACGTATAACCTAATTTTTTTATGCTTATATAAACCCTAAACCATACTTGTATTATTTCCCACTTCATCCATCATACCTTCTACACATTCACTCCCAATATTTGTATCTAAAATACAATTATTTTCTCTAAATTTAACTTCCTTCATGGATGTACTAGGCGTTCGTCAAAGGAAAAGCAATAAGAAGCACTCCAAGAGAAGGAATTCTAACAGAGATATCAAAGTCGTTTATATCTCGAGTCCCATGAAGGTGATGACATGTGCCTCACAGTTCCGAGCTTTGGTTCAAGAACTCACCGGGAAAGACTCCGATGCTGCCGTCCGATTCATGGACGATGATGACAACGTCTCCGATAATTCTCCTACCTATTCCAGTTCAGCGAGGGTTCATGGTGATGGTGTTCTTGGATTGCCTTGTGCAATTTTCAATCACGGGTTCATGTTTGAATCATTTGATGATGAACTTATTTCGGAAGGAGATTTCTCCAGGATGCTTACATCAAATTTGTCTGACGATCCTTCTCATATCGACACTTTTAGAAGTTTTGGGCCAAATTAATCATAATTATATATGTATTTAGTTACAATATAGTTTGAGCTTGTAGTTTATATATAATGCATAAATTGGCATGCACCTATTCTTTCATATTAATTTATCTGAGAATTTCATTAAAGTCTGATTTGTTCTATTCATATAATTTTGATTAATTTTTGGCATTTATTTTTAACGAATTGAATTGTGCGTTCATTGACTATTTATTACTCAATAGGAAAGTAAATAAAAAATTAAATTATCAAATAAAATGTTTATACTTACCAAGGTATATTGCTAATTTCATTTTTTACAATTTAAATACATATAAATCACTCTTATTTTCCCTCTTTAAATTCATCTATATATAGAGCATACTATCGGCCATTTTACGTTCAAAACTACATGGAAATGACAAAAAGTAACTAATTGTTAGTTATTTAGTTTGTTTAGTAAGAACCAAATCTTTGTTTTAAACAAAAATTGAGAGCGAATACAATATAATATATGTTCGAATTGATCATTAAATAATGGACCAAATTTATTTTTCAAATATTTTTATATAAATTTTATAAAGTTATGATGTTGATTAAAATCAAAAGTCAAAGTGAAGGGATGGCTACCCTAGAGGTACTCTAATCTACAACATGATGTATTTTTCATAACACGAAATTAGTTTCTCGTTAGAAAATATAAAATGAGTTTATTGATTGATAAACGTTAGTGGAATACTATTAGAATAATATCGATACTAAAATATAATTTTGATTATTTAAACTCGAAAAATCAACTATGTTGACTCCAAATCGATTTATTTGACCACTAAATCAATACCTAAGACCATTAATACATCCCGTGCATCAATATACAATATAATAACTTTCAACATAAGAATCATCCCACCAAATGCACGATCAAAGATGGGAAAAGCGACAAAAATTTGATTTTCCTCTCACAAGGGTAAAATTACACCTTTGGGTCCCCACACTATCATCCCTTGCCCATAAACACCCTTTGGGCTTACCAATTGGGCTCAAATTCTGTTCTAACAAGGCCCGGAAGCCTAAATCCACTCTCAAAGTAGCTCATGTAAGCCCATAAAAAGTAGCTTGACTTTTCGAGTGATGCACGTGAAAGCAAAATGTAGGAAGCCTTTGCCTCTAATTGACAACAAAAGGATTATCAAGTCCTTGTCCTAAAAACTAATTCTTGAGACACGGATCTTAAGAGGTTAGATGTTTCATATATATCGTCTGTGTTCTAAGGATTTAGTTTTATGCTTTAATCTAATTAGGAATCCTATTTTAATATTATAATATTTAGTTAGAAAAATATGAACGATCTGAAAATAAATTTGATCAAATTATCCTTTTATTATATTTTTTTTCCGAACATTCTTTTTAACCAGCTTTCAAAGGGCTGTGTTGCATGTATCTTCATTCCCCGAGACCCTCATTTTAAATAAGTCATATACTTTTAAATATTTCAATTTCATCTCCAAACTACGACTCTCATTTTTAAATTAGTTTTTAAACTTTTGAATATTTTAATTTCATCCCCAAACTATGACTCTCATTCTAAAATGATCCCTAAGCTTTTGAATTTCCCTTATCATCCCCAAATTCATCCAAATATGTAATTAGTTTCAATCATAGTTTAGCCTAAGTTTTATTCTTTTCAAACATATAATAATATAACTTGGCCTAATGATTTTATTAACAAGAGATGCTATTAGTATATACATATAATTTTAGATGATTTGAAATGTTCAAAAAGTTTAGAGATCAATTCAAAATGAAGATTATAGTTTGGGGATGAAACTGAAATATTCAAAAAATTTGAAGATAAATATAAAATGATAGTCATAATTTAAGGATGAAACTAAAATATTTAAATATTTAAATATTAATTCAAAATGAAGATAATAATAAAAAGACAGTTAACTCAAAAATTGAGATGAGAAAATGATTCGCAGGTGTTGAAATTTGAAAAATTATAAAATACCCCCTTTTATTTGCTTTTCATTAACACTGTTGGATGATCAGTGTAGTGACTATTTATAGACATGTAATCGCACTAAACAAACATGAATAATAACATATTTATGTTCATTGGTTTAACTTTAATCGAATAAAAAATAAAATATAAACAATTAAACAAATATAATTTTTTATTTATATTCGTTCGTTAAAGAATATAATTTATTTGTATTCGTTTATGTTCATTCGTTAAAATGATAAACGAACGTAAACAAATATAAATGGATAAACATAAAATGCAACTTTCTTTTAAATTAAATAAAAATTCTTAAAAAAATATAAATAAACGATGGTAAATATAAATTTAATTAAACATAGGAATATAAATGAACGAATATAAACGAATAGATTATCAAATATTTATGACCGTAAATGAATGAAAGTAAATTATTTATTTATATTTATTTATTTAATTAAATAGATATAAAATATTATTTATATTTATTCGTTTAATAAATAAATGAACATAAATGAAATTTGTCATCAAACAGTTCACAAATAATTCTTTAAAAATTCAGTCCGTTTACAAGCTAGTTATTTGGTTAATTCGAGTCAATAAAATTAAATTAATTCTATAATGTATTAATAAGGGAAAAAGAAGAAGAAAAGTAAGCAAAGAGCAGGAAAGGGGTTGGTGAGAGAGTGAAGATAACAAGTGGAACTCAATTAAAAGTGAAAACAGCTTCGACGCCCTCTCTTTCTTCCTCGGCAGCCAAACTCAAACCCCAATTTTTATTTATAATTAAAAAAATTAATCCTTTCCTTATAAAACCCTTGATCCTTCTTAAAAAGCCTCTCTTCTTCCTCTGCCTCTTTCAATTTCTGCCCTTTCCTTTCCTTTTTCTTTTAATTTTTCTATTTTTATCTCTTCTGTAAACCCTCATTCTCCTTTTATTGGATCTGTCATCCCCTCTCCTCTCTTGATTATTTTTTTGTACAAAAAGATCTTTTTTTTATTGATATTGTTAAATCCCCTGTTTGGTTCCTGGGATTTTGTTTTCTTCCTGTTTTTACTTTCTGGGAAAGTAAAGAAGAGGGAAAAATGAAGGTACCTTGTTGTTCAGTTTGCCAAACGCGGTATAACGAGGAAGAAAGAGTTCCTTTATTGCTTCAATGCGGCCATGGGTTTTGCAAAGAGTGTCTTTCCAGAATGTTTTCTGCTTCATCGGATACTTACTTGCCCTGTCCCCGGTGCCGCCACGTGTCCCTTGTCGGTAACTCTGTTCTGGCTTTGAAGAAAAACTATGGGATTTTAGCTCTTCTCAACTCGAACACAAACTCAGCTGGGTCCAACTCGAGGAACGATTTCGATTGCGATTACACGGACGATGAAGGAGATGGCGATGACGAAGAGAGGGAGGATGATGATGAAAACGGGGATTTCTTCCATGACTTGGCCGGTGGTCGGATTAGCCGCGGGTCCCACGCTTCTAGTTCTGGTGGTGCTGCCGCCGCGGAATGCGGGCCGGTGATTGAACTGACAGCTCATCCGGAAGTGAAGTTGGTTAAGAAGATAGAAGGAAAATGGACAGGGAAAGGAGGGGGAGCAGGAGTGGAAACATGGGCGGCGGTGATTAGTGGAGTATGCGGTGGAGGAGGGAGGCGCTGCAAGCATAAGGTGGCGGTGAAGAAAGTAGGGGTCATGGAAGGTATGGATGGGGAATGGGTTCAAGGTCAACTTGAGAGTTTGAGGCGTGCATCAATGTGGTGTAGGAATGTTTGTACTTTCCATGGAGTTATTAAGTTGGAAGAGAGTAGTTTGGGGATTGTTATGGATAGGTGTCACGGATCGATTCAATCTGCAATGTTCAATAATGAAGGGAGACTTACTCTGGAGCAAGTTCTAAGGTTTTGTTTCTATTTTAAACTTGGCCTCTTTTTTTTTTTCTTTCTTTCTTTTTGTAGTTGAATCTTTTAATATGATATTTTGTTTGGTATTCATTGTATGAAATATTTTTAATTTTGCTGGTTTTGCTAGATGGTATTCTAAATCTTATTCTATTTGTTAACAAAACATAAGATTGATAGGTTGTTTGTAGGCAAGAGAAAAAGGTGTTATGTTCCGAGATTATATATTGTTGAGTCTGAATGAACCTTAAGGTTTGAGCTTTCGCACTGTGATATTCTTTATTGTGTTCAGAATGTTGGTTTTTGTTGATTTGGGCAGATGCCGAGCAGATCTTTATGTTATTTGTGTATTAAATATTCTTTTTATCATTGATGTGCGGAAAGTTGTTGCAATATGTTGGATTGTGTTATTCAATAGAAAAAGCTTAACTTGCTAGATGTAGTGTATTTTTTTTCTTTTAGTTAAGATTTTTTGTTCTTGCATTGGAGATTTCATTTGTTTACATCGAATGAAACTTTACACCTTATGGGAATGATTGTAGGATGATCAATCTATTACCATGGAGCCGAAGATCGATAGCTCAAATATTTAACTTTTCTCTTTACCTTCACTTCTAACGTGTATGTGCAGATTCTGTGCAGAAGTTGAAGGAATAGAACATTTTAACTGTAACCTGTTAATTGAGAATTCTTTGTTAGAGTGCTTGTTGACTTGACATAATTTGTGTATGAATCTTCTACTCCGTATCTGCACATAATGACTTAGTGATGCCTGTAAGCTCTTTATTTTAATTGGGATTCCTTCAAGTTTTAATGTCTTGCAAGTTTAGACAAAGGAATACTCCATGATTCCCAAACTAAAAACATGAGTGAGAAAGGCAGAGAGAGAAATAGAGAGCTTGTGACAGGCCGTTCATCTTACGATAAGGAATGAACTGTTTTCGTAGACAATCTTAGTAAGAGAGTTACTAGAAGAGAGTTAAGAGAGATCTTCGATATTTATGGTCGTGTTTTAAGGGTCTATATTCCAAGTTTTATGGTGAAACCAAATTATAAGTCATCAACGTTTGCCTTTGTGCAATAGGCGATGGAGGAAGGTTGTAGAAGAGCGATTCAGAATGTCAATGGAACGCTGATAGA